GTCTGAATCTGCAATAGGTAAACAGCTTGGTGTGAAGAAATCAACTGTGGGATCAATTATTAGAAAATGGAAAACATACAAGACCACTGATAATCTTCCTCGATCTGGGGCTCCACGCAAGATCTCACCCCGTGGGGTCAAAATGATCACAAGAACGGTGAGTAAAAATCCCAGAACCACACGGGGGGACCTAGTGAATGACCTGCAGAGAGCTGGGACCAAAGTAACAAAGGCTACCATCAGTAACAGACTACGCCGCCAGGGACTCAAATCCTGCAGTGCCAGACGTGTCCCCCTGCTTAAGCCAGTACATGTCAAGGCCCGTCTCAAGTTTGCTAGAGAGCATTTGGATGATCCAGACGATGACTGGGAGAATATCATATGGTCAGATGAAACCAAAATAGAACTTTTTGGTAAAAACTCTACTCGTCGTGTTTGGAGGAGAGAGAATGCTGAGTTGCATCCTAAGAACACCATACCTACAGTGAAGCATGGGGGTGGAAACATCATGCTTTGGGACTGTTTTTCTGCTAAGGGACCAGGACGACTGATCCGTGTAAAGGAAAGAATGAATGGGGCCATGTATTGTCAAATTTTGAGTGAAAACCTCCTTCCATCAGCAAGGGCATTGAAGATGAAACGTGGCTGGGTCTTTCAGCATGACAATGATCCCAAACACACCGCCCGGGTAACGAAGGAGTGGCTTCGTAAGAAGCATTTCAAGGTCCTTGAGTGGCCTAGCCAGTCTCCAGATCTCAACCCCATAGAAAATCTTTGGAGGGAGTTGAAAGTCCGTGTTGCCCAGCGACAGCCCCAGAACATCACTGCTCTAGAGGAGATCTGCATGGAGGAATGGGCCAAAATACCAGCAACAGTGTGTGAAAACCTTGTGAAGACTTACAGAAAACGTTTGATCTCTGTCATTGCCAACAAAAGGTATATAACAAAGTATTGAGATGAACTTTTGTTATTGACCAAATACTTATTTTCCACCATATTTTGCAAATAAATTCTTTAAAAATCAGACAATGTGATTTTCTGGAATTTATTTTTCTCATTTTGTCTCTCATAGTTGAGGTATATCTATGATGAAAATTACCGGCCTCTCTCATCTTTTTGAGTGGGAGAACTTGCACTATTGGTAGCTGACTGAATACTTTTTTGCCCCACTGTATATAAAATTTTTGTTAAGAATTTATTTCACTTTCATGTAGAGATATGAGAACTGGATATGAATGTGTTTCTAAAGGTCCTTCAGCTGTGTTGTGTCTGGAATAAATCTATGAACTGTTTTCTCTGAAGTGCCTGAGATGTGCTGTGGTAGAGAACTATGACAATAAACTGAAATGAAATAAAATCTTCAAAAAGGAAGAAATATATTATTCCCCAAAGCACAGGAAAGGCAGGGTTATTTTTACAGCACAATTCAATACAAAGACATTTTAAAGTAAAAATTTACTATTAAAGTAAGTATTGAGTAAGTATTTTTAAGTAATTTCCCTCTGGGATTATTAAAGTATGTCTGATTCTGTCTGATTCTGATAAAGTGCTTTATAAATAAATACATACTGTATGGGAAACAATACCACAATAAATGTAACTTTATTCATCTTTTTTATTATTAATATGATCATGGGCAGCTTTCTTAAATCAGAGAACAATGTGTGAACAATGCTCCACCTGGATGAGCAGGTAGAGACATTTCTCTGCATTATAAATCCTCTGATGTTAACGGCTTGCCATAGAATGGATCCCTAAACTGTTTCTCCTGTCAGTTTATCATCTTTTAGCACCCAGAGTAGAAAACTGAGGAACCTAAATGACCTCAACTCAAAGTACTTTGGGCATTAAGGAACAGTTTCCTTCAGCTAATTATGAAAAGGATGTTCAATTTAAAAAGGAAACATTTCCACCTATTGACAAAACCATTAATTGATTTTGCTAATGCATTGATTGTCATCCCAGGTGTTGTTAGAGAATAACAGTATGAGTTAAGGTCAGCATCTTTATTATCAGTGAACATCTTTAATTTGAAAAATAAAAAGACTGCAGCTGATCACCAGTCTGATTCGTCCATATTTTACAACAGTGAAGTTGGATCCAACTGGAAAGAAATTAAGAAAATAAAGCGGGCCTTTTTCTGGGATTAAGCAATGTCTGAAAAACGGGTTAAAAAAAATGAAAACTGATTTTATAGGAAGGTTGTTTTTTTGTTTTTTTAACAACCAGGGCAAATAGTCCTTTACATATAGAGCAATAGCGCCCTCACTGGGACGTCAGACGTGATGCAGCAGTTATAATGTGGAGCTATAAGCACAGATGGTATTGCTTACACTTAAAACATGTTTACCTCTAATTCTGAATAAATTATCTTAGCTAATCATGATATATTTGTGTAATTCTGAAATAAAAACCCACAGACACACGCTGTAAGGTAGTAGGAGGAGAAATTAACCAAGACAATGAAAATAAATCCGGTTTTTATCTATGATCGTTGAAGAAAACCTCACCAATGGCATTAAAATCAGGAACTGGTGACTGGGATTCAAATTTCATCAAGATATTTCTTACTTTTTTATGCACTTATGACCAAAGTAACCATAAAAAGTAATAAAGTTAAATCTGCTCAACAAAGTTTCATTGAACTCAGATAGAGCCTTACAAACAAAAACACTCCTCTAAATATCCATCTTATCCAGCATTAACGTACTTGGCATAATTTTCGCTCTTTCCAATGAAGGACTATCCCAAACCTCCCATCCTGCTTCTGTCCACTAAACATGATGAATTTTATCTCCTGTACCTGCCTACTGGGAGGAGACACAATCTTGTCATGTTGGGTTGAGTTTTAAAGAGGACCCAAATGCAGAGACTGAAGCTAAAGGTGGCTACTAGCAGGTTTAATTAAAAATAAATGGCAACAGAAGCAAAAATCAAAAACAGGCTAATTAGTCGATTGGGAGCAGATGTGGACAGAGGAGTCTAGAAGGGAGCTAGGGAATAATACTAACTTTAAGTAACTAAAAGTTATTTAAAGTTAGTATTATAAGTAGTGCTGTCAAAATTATCGCGTTATTAACGCGTTAACGCGAGGCCATTTTAACGGCGATAATTTTTTCAACGTGAGATTAACGCTATGTGGTTTTATGGTACAATTTTCCAAGTACATCCCGCTGCAGCCTGCGGGAAGGCGGGGCTATTTTCCCCCAGTGTATGCATTTCTCATAGGCTTCGAGAGCGGAGCTCCTCAAGGGAAAAAGACGCTCATAAACTGGGTAGCGCTAGTGCCTTTTCTTTAAGCCCCACCACCAACAAACAAGTTGAGTGTCTGGTAACTAGTAGCAACCTGAAATACGCTGAGAAAACTGATTACTGAGGTGAAATGGAATCTGCTACGGCACTCTTGCCGTCTGTGTACGCCACAGGTCGGTATCGTGTGTGTGTGTGTGTGTGTGTGTGTGTGTGTGGGTGGGTGTGTCTGTGTGTGGGTGTGTGTGTTCTCATTTTTGTTAAGAGGCTGAAAAGTAACTTTCTAGAGCATAGACTACCTCCATCTAGTAATGTCGGTCTATTGATTTTGATGTATTGATTGAAAATTGTTCATTATTACCTTGGTTAATTGACATCTAATGTTAACTCTACTACATTTTATAGCAGTAGGGTAAAATGCTTGTCTTTGTTCAAAAGACTGTATTAACTGTAAAGACTGTCTTTTACATCAGCCTGTTTTCAGGGCCTTTTTTGGCTACATATTTGTTATTTTTTGCTACATGCCTCCCCATCTTCTTGCCATATGTTTCTATGGCATAAATCAGTATCTGTGACCTGTTCTCATTTAAAAAAAATAACATTGGCACAAACCTAGCCTGTATGTATTTTTTTGTATGTCATCGAGAGTATTTAAATGATTTTCAATCAGGGAAAAAAATGTGTGATTAAAATGCGATTAATCGCGAGTTAACTTAGGCATTGATGCGATTAATCGCGATTAAAAACATGTAATCGATTGACAGCACTAATTATAAGTAATTAATATTTTGAACTAAAATTTGGAGCATCAAACACACCAGATAAGAAAATAAATCAGGGCTGGTTTATTTACTGCATTTGCAATATAATTGCAATTTTACAATATGCGATTTTGAAGATTGCAGAGGCACAGATTTTGTATTATAATATACTATACAATAGGACACTAATTTACTTAAGTACCGGTTATAGTGTGGAGTAGGGCTGAACGATCTATCGTTTTCGACCGAAAATCGCGATCTCAAGCAACGCAATTTTGGGATTAACAAAGCTGCGATTTTTCTTGGTGCATATTAGCCCAGGCCTAATAATTTTGTCAATAATTCCAATGCATGTTCATGTAGAAAGTCTCTGTGTCGGCTATTACCAATCAGAAAAGGCTCTGTGTCGGCCAGAACCAATCAAGAAGCTGAAAGGCTGCGCGTGACCAGATGACGTTTTCAGTGTAGCTCGTAAGCTCGAGATTCAATTTCAAGATGGCTGAAGCGGGAGCAGACATGGAGCCGACAAAATTAATACCAAAGAAAAACAGCACGTCGGTCATTTGGCAGTATTTTGGATTTGAGGCCACTGATGAGCACCAGAAACAGGTGATTTGCCAAACATGTCGTGGGAAAGTGGCTACATCGGCTGGCAATACCACCAATTTACATCGTCACTTGAGAGTTCACCACTTTAACTTGTATGTGAAGTGTATGGCGAAAAAGAGCCTTGAAACATCAAGTAGCAGTGATACTTCAGCAAAACAGCCAACCATAACTTCATCCTTTGCCAGTTTGACGCCTTATGAAAGAACTAGCCGAAGACACAAGGAGATTACCACTGCCATAACGAATTACATAGGATATGGTGTCTGTAAACACAGTAACCAAAGACGCATTTAAAAGTTTGCTACGCACAATGGACAAGAGGTATGTTCTACCCTCCCGCACCTACTTAAACCGAGTCGCCATCCCACAGCTGTACGGAGAATGCAAGTTGTAAATGAGCTGGAAAACATGGAGTTTTACGCGTCAACTACGGATCTGTGGTCAAGTAGAACGACCGAGCCATACATGAGTTTGATGGTGCATTTCGTGAACGCAAACTTTGAGTTGAGAAGCCGCTGCCTGCAGACAGCATACTTCCCCACTGACCATACGGGGGAGAACATTGCAATTGGGCTTAAGGAGTGCTTGGCAAACTGGGGCCTAAAGGAAGAGGCCCAGACCTGCATCACAACAGACAACGCCACGATCATGGTCAAAGCGATGGAGCTCAATCAGTGGACCAGACTGCAGTTCTTCGGGCACCGGCTGCATCTTGCAATTGGTAAGTGTGTGTGTGTGTGTGAGTCCAAATTTACTGTGTAAGAATTAGTGGTATCATAGTCTCTCCCCGCTTTACAAGCTAAATCAATGGGAACTACTAGACACATCTGCAATCAACAACAATTATTGAAGATTTCCAGAGGACTTCACCATTGAAATTCACCAGAGCTATAGTGAAACTGACAATGCCCACGTGCATGGCAGCTGGATGCTGGAATACATCGGGTAAAAGTGAAAATAAAGAGTTATTCCACCTTTCTGATTCCTGATCCTCCACGGACGGGTTGGTCGTTGGATCGCCAACTTGAAGAGGGAGGATTTGCCATCGAACTTCTGGCCAGAGAAAAAACCCGTAATATGTAGCCAACATTTGGAAGAAGAATGTTTTCAAGATGACTTGGATAATAGCGCGTTGTGACAAACACCAGATACAGCACTGGGACTTGATCAACAGGCGATACGTCACTAACCAGTAGGTGGCAGTAGTGTTCTTTGACAAACATGGATGCCTCCAGTAAAGCACATTCACATGAAAATTACTCTGAATTAAAAACACTGATCATTTATTGAACAGGATGGAATCATTTCAGATTTAAGGAACTTTCAGACGTTTGGATTCTGAATATGAGCGACTTTTCTTTTAAGGAGGTCTAATATTATTATCTATCTCTGATTTTAGTTGCTCATAAATCAGAAAAACAACTTTTAAAATGATACTGAGTCTTGTGCCCTAAAGACTTGAGATGTGACTCGTCTTCTGGGTCTGAGAGCTGAGCGTCATTATCAGCCTGTGATGCTGGAGGATTATGGGATGTTAATGGCTCATAACAATATGTTCACAATAATGAGAATATACATGTTTAATAGTTTTTACATTCACATAACTATCTTCACTGTAAAAAAATCGAAATGTAGATAAGTCATTTTTAAGGAATTTTTTTTTTGGAATTGGGGAGATAGAGGAAACATTTTGCCAATGGAATAACACAATAAGACAAAGATTTAAAATAAGAAAAATCTAATTACATTGTTTTATTTCAAGTGCATTTTATCTAATTATCTTGTTTTCAAAGTAAAAATACTCATTCCACTCAAACTATCTCAATTACCTATTCAAATCAAGGGTAAATACACTTAATTTAGGAAGTTTTTACTTATTTCTAGATCATTTTTCCATTGTTAACAATCAGTCCACACACTGCAAAGATAGAAATCTAGATAAGTCATTTTTTCTTAAAATAAGTATATTTTTTTCATGAATTGAGGAGGTGAGTCGGACACTTTAACAATGGAACAAGGCAGTTTAAATTTAAAATAGGAAAAAACAATAGCATCGTCTTATTTCAAGTGCATATTATCCAATTATCTCATTTTAAGAGTAAAAGCTTTTAGCAGGAGTAGAATTTACCTGCTCAAATTAATTAATTTAATTTTAATTAATTTTTACTTTTTTCTACATTGCTTTTACAGTGCAAGTTAAACCTCTAGCTGGTAGCCTGATCAGACATTTTTTATTAAGTATGTTGCATAAATGCAAACATGAGTTCACAGCCACACAAATAAATTTCTATTAGAAACAAACTTAGAAAATGAATTCTAATAGTGACTAAAAAAGCAAAACAAAGTTTTGCGATCCTGACCTAAACCTGGTGATGCAGAGAAAACTCCAGTCTTTGAACTCACCTTTGCATCCTGAGCTCCTTTAGCCTTCAGCGTCTGCTAAACGCAGGACAGCAACTCTACGGCGAATCGCTGCCTGCAACGACTCCACTTTTATAGGGTGGATCCTGCTGCACACGGCAAATTGAAGGAATGGATTTCTTGAGACGAAACCTGCACCTCCATTGATCCACCCTTGAAGGAAATAAATACATTGTCATCGATGATGCTCTCTGTTAATGCTTCTGTTGGCGGGGCAGGAGAGTGATTCACTTCCAAACGGCCAACATCAATCCGTGAGCTATTAAGAGGCCCTCATGTCATTGTGCACAGAAGGTTATCAATGCAATGTTTTTAATTCTGCTCTGGAGTCAATACAGTAAAATAGCACAAGCAAAGTTATCTGACTGCTCCTGGGAATTAAAGTTCAACAGGACACGGCATTAAGGACATATTGCAGAAATTATCATGCAGCTTAATTAGCCCCTCTTCACCTCACCCCCCACCTACTACTACACCACCTTATAGCGCACCCCCACATCATATTGAGAGGCTTTAGCTTCCTCATCGGGGGAAAACCGAGGCCAAGATGAATATTCAAACATCCTGAATACTATTGAGCGGCACGCAGCAGCAAGGTTTGAAAGTTATAGCTGCTTTCATGCTGTGGGAAAAAGAAGGAGGGGCTAACTTTCTCAAGGGGCCCTGTCACCGATAATTAGCGATCAATCACGAATTAGTTTAAAAGCTCCAAAAGAACACAGAGAGCACTATTAGACTGCAGAGATTCACTGCTCTCCGATAATTGCTTTGGTTGTTTTCACAGGGAACCTAGCTGTTCCTCTTGGTTTTATCTCAGAGACTTATCACCAGCATAAACCACACCCGCTCCACACGACTCTTTGACTTCACTACCATAGTGTGACGTGTCAAATACATGAAGGTACTTTTTCTGCAACACAATATGAGGTCTGCACAGACAACATGGATCACATGTATGCGGCTTCTTTCATCCTCACGTCATAAATTAGTCGGTATGTCAAAGGATGAGCATCAATTTATTGGCTAACCTCTGGAAGGTGAAGCAGCAAATGGAGAACATGAAGGGAGTTCTGATGAAAATGAAAAAAGAGAGATCACATCTCTCCTATCCTGGCTTCTCTTCATTGGTTTCCTGTTAAATCCAGAATAGAATTTAAAATCCTCCTTCTCACATATAAAGCCTTAAATGGCCAAGCTCCATCTGATATCAGAGATCTGATTGTTCCTTATGTTCCTAACAGAGCACTTCGCTCTCAATCTGCAGGTTTACTAGTGGTTCCTAGAATTTCTAAAAGTAGAATGGGAGGCAGATCTTTTAGTTATCAGGCTCCTCTCCTGTGGAACCAACTACCAGTTTTAGTCCGTGAGGCAGACACCCTGTCTACTTTTAAGGCTAGGCTTAAAACTTTCCTTTTTGATAAAGCTTCTAGTTAGAGTGGCTCAGGTTATCCTGAGCTATCTCTATTCTCCCACTCTGCAGAATCTGTTAGTTCAATCTCTAACGTTCTGCTCTCTCTGCTTTTTCTCATAGTAGCTTCATCTGGTCTGTTCCTGTTTGGCTGTGACTCCATCCTGGAGAGAAATATCAGCTGTGCTGCTGCCCCCCCCACCATGGACTGTTCTCCCTGCTGAGACTTTGAAGCATCTGATGCAGGTCCAGCACATTCCAGAACAGTTTCTTCCCCACCACCATTAGACTGCTGAATGTTGTATATAATGAGGTTGTAAAAAAAAAAAAAAACTAAATGTTGGAAATTCTAACCTATATACTGTACAGTCGTATGTTTACATTTATCAATGTAGACAAATGAAAATGTCTAGAAAGCTGCACTGAACGTAATTTATTTTTGCATACACTCTGTGTGTACAAAATGTCAATAAAGTCAGCCCAAGTCTTGATCCTCTGATTTTGTAGCTGGCTCGGAGCTCGTCTACCTGGCTGTGTGTTTCCTGGACGTTGCCGCGTTTTATAGTTGCCTCATGTGTCTCTGCATCCGTCTCCTTAAACTCCCAGTTCGGGAGATGGACACCTGTCAAAAGGGAGTTTTTCTTCTCCACTGTCACTACAAGCATGCTTAGTGTGACACAGACCGCCTGCGCGGTGGTGGGAGGTGGTGAGAAAATACTCTCCCTGTCACCTCAGGTCACTGCTTAGCTGATTTTCAACGTGCACACTCTGCACCGCATAGTTCTGTCATTTTTAGCAAATTTGTGCTGCGTGTTTAAGGGGTGGATTTTCTTGTTTTTTTTTATTTTAAATCTCTTTAAAACATAAAGGATTTGTTTTATGCGTTGCTGTATTAGTTGGGAGCCACATGCTGTGTTTGGGACCCAAATAAAAAGAAATGGCAAGTATTTTATAATAATCAATAAACTTACAGGATGGATTGCTGAAAACAGCAGAACCAGAAACAAAGACAGGAAAAAACAAAAGAAAGTTAAAAATGAAGCATCAGATATGAAGTAAATAGAGAAATCAGCAACTAATAGCAAGAAGCAAACAGCCTAAATATGGGGAGTAAAGAGAACCAGCATGAAAAGCAGGTAGGCTGTCTGATCAGGTGAGGGGGGGGGGAATAACAGGGCCTAATTGGGTCACATAGAGAAACACACAAAACTCAACTACCTTTCATTCCAATTTAACAGTAAAAGCTAATTGTTCATCTGGATTTTTTCTGGGTTTTTACTTTGTTCTTTTTGCACCTTGTGCCATCAGCTGATCTAACCAAGCTTGTACACTGCTGCCATCTACTGGCAGCCTGTTATTAACTAACTGGAAACTTGAACAATGATATTATTTCCAATTGCTATCACAAGTATCAGTATCACTAATGCATCTTTAGCTTCTTCCTCAGGGAACACAAACACATTCTTTTGCACTTTTTCACACTTGATCATTGATCTTCCTCTGTTTTCAGAGAGAAAACATGAGGGAAGTGACTAAGGTTGAGAATGGCAGCTGTTTTTTTTATACCAAACAACACTAAATGCTGCATTTGTATTAAAAAAGAAAAAATCTGTTGCTTTTTTTTGTGAATTCCCTCTGTCAATTCAATTCTGTTGAATTCAGTTTCTTTCTATAGCACCCGTTGAAAAAATATGATGTTTTTTGGTTTGCTTGGAGGGGATTTTGCCGGGAGTTGGAGGGAACTGGGCTGCCATTCGGCTGGCGTTTGACTGGGAAGGGCCATTTTGAATGGCTGCTACTGTAACCACTTCCAAAAAACTCCATTTGTTAAAGGGGAACGCCTGTCACAACGCCGGACTGGAGCTGTGACAGGCAGCCCGGGCCACAGGCGGCTACGCTCTACCCCTTCTATTCATTCTAGCTAATCTGAATCGTTCATTTGGAGAGCGAGATCATCTGTGGTAGCAGCACTAGACATCTTCCAGGCATGTGAGGAAAACTAGCAGCAGTTCAGAGGACAGGATGAAGGAACGGTAGCCGGCACACACGGATGATGTCATACAACATATATTAATATAAATAATCTAACGGCGGATGTCTTGGGGACAGTAATTGTCCTCCATGTTCTGAATGCTGGCGTACCATAAAGAATAAATGATGAACAGTTTAGTTTGTGCCTTCAAGTCGTTGCCCATAGGAAGACGTTACTGGATATAACCTAACGGAATATCTTCAGAACAGCTCCAAATGACACTAAACTCATATGGGTGAGTAGAACATGATGGAATAACGGAAAATCAAGGAAACAATATTAAAAAAAAACAGTGTTCCCTTTTAATAGTAACAAATATGCTCAACACATCATCATAGTAATGTCTTTGTGCACAATTATTTATACTCCTTTTTGTTTTAGGGAGGAAAAAATAAAATGTAAAAAGGAGAAAGAATATAGATGAGAAATGATGGATCCATCCATCCATTTTCTGACACGCTTAATCCCAAGTGGGGTCATGAGGGGTGCTGGTGCCTATCTCCAGCTGCAAGGGCGTAGGTTTGATTTGAACTTTGGTAGGGACACTATTGGTCTGGTGTCATTGGTGCTATGCAATATGCGTGCCCTTTTTTATGCTCGATGTGAGCATCCGTACTGATAAGAGGAATTCATTGTTAAAAGAGAAAAGCAACATTTTGCTACATTAATAAAAATGTTATAAGCTCTACACTCATTAGATGCTGTTTATCAATGTTTGAAGTATCACCGGCTCTGAAGAATGTGGAATTAGGACTGTTTTCCACTTTGAAAACGGTTTCATTTGAACGACTAAGAGAGAAGGTAAATACAGTATTTTCTCTTGAAGATATAGAATTGTGCAGAGTTAAACCCCACTCTAATATTTGTACCTACTATGCTCTCTCTGTATCAAGCAAAATAATACATTTATTAAAATATTAACTTCACTATAAAAGTTGAACATCTGGGCTGTAGTTACTCTGTGTCGCCCATTTCATGTATTTCATCTGGGGCTGAAAAAAATGAATCGTATTAATTGATTATTTCAATAATCGTCAACTAATTTAGTGAGTGATTCATCATTAACTGGAGTATAGAGACTTTAAAACATACAGTAATATAAATGTAAAATGTGTGTGGGAAACCACAGAGCAACCCACTTAGATAAGTTATATCAAAATTGTAAAAATAAAAACAAAAAAATGAAAACAGTAATATCAACTAAATATCGGTAAAAAGGAAACCCTCACATTTTCTTTCTTAATTGGCTGTTGCTAAGAATCAGACATGTTGATGCTTACAGCCTTTATTTGCCCATTTTTCCAGCAGTCTTCAGAACTCCTGGCTGACTCAGAATATTTCGTTTTATAAAAAAAAAAAAAAGGTTTTTGTTTTTTAGTGTACATGATATTCATTTTTTTTATTGGGACTTGTTTTGTAGCCTAATATTAATTGTAGTAACCGCTGCATTCTAGTGTGAATAAATTTTCAATGTTGCGCACCAAGCACACGCGGACTACAAAACAGCCAATCGGAGAGAGAGAAGGCGGAACTTAAGGCAGAACAACCAATGAGAGTTGAGTTAAACAGCGCAGCACAGTTCCATGCGCTGCTACATGAAAGGGACAGGAGAGACCAGGCAGAGGAGCTGCGAGAGGAAAAGAAGCCACTGCTGCAACAACTACTGCTGTAAATTATAAACATGTTGCTCACATCCAATTATTGGTAGGGACAATTAGGACGGTTCAGAATTTTGGTAGGGACATGTCCCTATGGTCCCTATGCAAACCTACGCCCATGTCCAGCTGTCTACGGGCGAGAGGCATCAATTCACATCATGTCACTTTCCAGTTCACCAGATCATCCAGTCAGATTGATTAAAAGTTTTCTATCTAAGGAAAACCAGCTGATTGCATCGACTCATTGACTCTTCAGCAATCCCTCACACTAAGCATGCTTGTAGCGACAGTGGAGAGGAAAAACTCCCTTTGAACAGGAAGAAACCTCCAGCAGAACCAGGCTCAGTGTGAGCGGCCATCTGCTGAGGCCCACTGGGGTTCAAGGTAGGGTGACCAGATGTCCTCTTTTTCCCCGACATGTCCTACTTTTCATACCTAAAAAATGTCCGGGGGGGAATTTCAAAATTATCTGGGAGTTTGGTCACCTACAGTGCCGCTGAACTGAGCCGTGTGCTTGGGGGCTGGTCCGGGATACCCGGCGGATGGGGGGAGGAAGCCAGTAGGTGACGGAGCGACCGAACCCAACCTGGGGACGCTGGCCACGGCAGGCGGGGGGAAGCATACAGTCACCGGGTCGGGTTCGGTTGCTCTGTTCCCGGCGGGCTCCAAACCCGGACTAGCCCCGGAGTTGATGGCTTGGTTCTCGGGTCACCCTGGTTCAAGGAGACAGGAGCAGAGATACGAAAGGCAACTGTTAGTCCAGGAAACACACAGCCAGGCAGACGAGCTCCAAGCCAGCTCCCATGTCAGAGGATGAAGAGAGCACATCCAGCCAATCACAGTCAGAGAAACAGGACTACACTGGAAAACAGGCCAATCTCCAACATCTATAAATATATCAGAGAAAAAAGGAATAAAATGCTTATAACTCTACTGGCATGACTAAAAATCTGAGCCATTATGATCAAATCTTCATCATTTAATACAGAAATTTCCATGTTTACTTGCAAAGATTGTTTCATTCATTTTGTACATAATGATCTTTAAAAAGTAACTTACTGTTCACATAAACAAACATGGGCTTTTGTTCATAAGGTTAAACTGCTTCACTTCCAAGAGCCTCAGCCTATGTCAGGAATCCTAACTTCTGCCAGAAGATCAAAGCACTTCTACGAATACTCAGTTACTAAATGTCAGGAGATTCGTAGTAAGCAGGTTCTGAGTAAGCCGCATTGTCACAACATTTTTCCTGTAAAAATAGGTCTTGGAAATAAAAATCTGGAATGATTTGCAAAAACCTGAGCTGAAGCTGAACCCTGGAAAGAGCTGCACATCTGAGTAAATGTAATGTTTGTTTCTGTAAAAGTCGAAGGCTGTGGAGCCGCTTAGCTTTTACTGAATAGCTTTTCTGACACCAGTTACGTCCCAGTGAGAGTTCAGGACATGGAGTCTGTTTAGCCGTGTCATCACTGTTGACAGGATGTCGTTTGTTTGTGGCCGAGCTGAACTCCTATGAGAAACTACAAAATAGAAACCTGCAGGTTGTTTAATATTTAAGCTTTATTTTCACTTCACAACAAACTGCAGATGGTTATTAATCATCCCATGTTTCTGAGCTGTGGGGAAACATTTTCATCATTTTTAGAAATGAAAGAGGAATTCTTAATTTTCCTTTGACATGTACAGTAGCAGCCATTCAAAATGGACCATCCCAGTCAAACGCCAGCTGAAGGTCAGCCTACTACCCTGCAACTCCCTGCCAAACACCCTCGACCTTCCAGCCACTGCAGTGACCCCCCCTCTAGCATATATTTTTACTCTGATGCCACCCTTTGACTGAATTACAGGGTCTGACCAGGAGATGATGCTTCTCTTTGGGTCTTAATGTAAGCAAATCATGACAGAAAGAATATTTTAGTACAAAGATTGATGTTTAAAAAGGAATTGTAGGGGATCAGCCAAGGAAAAGGGGGACATTTTGAATGGCTACTACTCAGCATATTCTCTGTTTATATTTATGGTGTCCAACATGCTTACATTCAGAGAACTGTGTAACAGCCCTCCTAAAGCCTCTGACACATCTTGCTGATTTATCCAGCGTATTACTGACGTCCCAGAATCTTCTACAACGCTGGCATAACTTGTATTTTTTTCTATTCTGGGTGTATTCATAATGAATGCAGAACTTCTGTCCAACAACCCTATCGTCTGCATAACGCACAGCAGCGTAATGCCCATGAAATGATGCACAAGCCAGTGTCCTGAAGGGGGCAGCGATGCGCCTGGAGGCGCCCCGCCTGCAGAAAAAGATTTGTTTGATCGCGGTATTAACCTAGCTGCTGTTTACCACCTGCCAGAAAAAGAATAGTAGCTTATGTGTAACACAAATCTAAGAGAATAACAATTTAATTCAGTTTATTTCTATAGCTCCATTTTACAATACATGTCATCTCAGGTCACTTTCCAATTCACCAGATCATCCAGTCAGATTGAGGAACCAACTTTCATTTATGAACAGCCATCAACAGAAAATGTTAAATCTACAGTAAATATTATTACAAACAGGGGGGGATTTACCATTAGGCAATACCAGGCAGTTGCCTAGGGCCCCAAATTCCTGGGGGCCCCATAAAACTCTGTTTATATGTATGGTTAATACAACTATTCCTTATTTGTGCACAATAATTATGTTTTTGATGAAAGTGCTTTGGCTAAAATGCCATCAGAACGCTGATAATATTAAGTGTCTCAGACCCCTCTAGCACTTTGATTTCTAAAAAGCTCCTAGCGCCAAATCTAGAGACTTTTTTCTGCTACTGGAGACTTTGGAGACAACATCTAAAAGCAGCGAACTCTGCTCTCCAGAGCGAGTAGATTGGTAACCCCGCCTCCTGCTCTCCTCTATCTTGTCTGCTGTCATGATTCATGCAGCTATTATTTCATCCAAATGAAAAATGGAGAACAGATAAGCAGATCATGGCTTGTCTACAGTGAAAAGAAGGACTGGGTTATTTACTTTGGCCTTTTTGGAAACACAGGAAGGAGCAATCAGCTAAGTGAGCTTAGTGCTTGGAAAAAATCTTTCATTCCTTTAGAGACAGCATGAAAAGTCAGCTGAGTACAAAACATAGAGAGGAAAACAAGAAGAAAAGGGACAAGAAGAGAGGGACACAACCTAGAACAGATAATGGATGTCTATTCTATTAACATTTCTCTATCTGGAGAATGGGGCTGTTTGATGTGTTGTCTTCTCAGTTCAGAGCGCCCCCTGCCTGTCTTTGCCTTGGGCCCTACATTTCCTAAATCCGCCCCTGATTACAAAGACGGTGATGCAACAAACATAACATGCTCTGTAGTGTTTAGTCAGTTTTTGGAGCAGAGCAACTTGACTGCTTGTTTTCTGCTCCAACATTGTAACATTCAGAGTCTGAGGAGTCGAAGAAGGGAAACAATTCAGTTCCAGGAAGAATTTTATGGGCCTTGAGTCAGAAAAGAAGCGCAGACATAGATTCTTTCTCAGGGTGAAGAGTTGAGAAAATATAAAATGTAGTTTCCAAAAAAATACTATTTGAAAAACACAGTAAAAAGGTCTTGATGCTTTGAAGTATCTTGAAACAGGAAGTTAGTTAGATTCAAGGTAATGGCTGTTGGTTTATGGACCTTCCACAGTAGAGATAGACTGATACACCAGCCTATCTTTAATAATTCGCTGTTTTTCTTTTTAATGATCACAACAGAAACGATCCAGCAAAACAGAGCATCAGTGTTCTGGGTTAAACAGCATGGGATGTACTTTGAACTTTCTATATCGTTAGCTGGAAAACGGTCGACCTGCTGACAGGCGTCTCAAACTGGAGTCAGGAGCCACCTTAAACAAGTGCATGTTTGTTAAAAATAAAAATTTTGACAAACAATTATTTTATTTGTTTAAAATAAAAGATTTAATAAATATCAAAGGCCTGCCTCTTATATATTCCTCTTTCGTCATGCCTTATTTGTCTTATTCATAAGAAGTATGGCGAAATACAATTAAACAATTCTGGATAGGTTACTTAAGTTGTAAAAAAAAAAAAAGCTATAAGGCTTATTAATAAGGTGGAAACCAACTGATAAACTCTTCATTCAAAGCAACACATTAAAATTCAAAGATATTGTATAATGTATAAAGCAGGTAACTAAAGTCTTCTTCTGGTAGTCGGCAGTTATTTAAGTTAAATATAATTTGCGAGGTTTGTTTATATTTGAATGTGCAAAGAACTAGTTTAGTCCGTGAGGCAGACACCCTGTCTACTTTTAAGGCTAGGCTTAAAACTTTCCTTTTTGATAAAGCTTCTAGTTAGAGTGGCTCAGGTTATCCTGAGCTATCTCTATAGTTCTGCTGCTATAGGCTTAGACTGCTGGAGGACATAGGGACCCCTTTTCCATCATTCTGCTTCATTCTATCTCTATTCTCCCACTCTGCAGAATCTGTTACTTCAATCTCTAACGTTCTGCTCTCTCTGCTTTTTCTCATAGTAGCTTCATCTGGTCTGTTCCTGTTTGGCTGTGACTCCATCCTGGAGAGAAATATCAGCTGTGCTGCTGCCATCAACACCTTTGTTTCTAGATGTTGGAGCTTGGAGCTTGGTGTGTTTCCTGGACGGGGCCGCCTTTTACAGCTGCTTTTTGTATCTCTGCTTCTGTCTCCTTGAACCCCAGTCGGCCTCGGCAGATGGCCGCTCACACTGAGCCTGGTTCTGCTGGAGGTTTCTTCCTGTTAAAAGGGAGTTTTTCCTCTCCACTGTCGCTACAAGCATGCTTAGTGTGGGGGATTGTATTTGAGTCAATGAGTCAATGCAATCAACTGGTTTTCCTTAGATAGAAAACTTTGTATCAATTTGACTGTATGATCTGGTTGAACTGTAAAGTGCCTTGAGATGACATGTGTTGTGAATTTGGCGCTATATAAATAAACTGAATTGAATTGAATTGAATTGAATTGAATTGAATTGAATTGAAGGCTGATGAGACATTCTGAGAAAGACTCATTATTTATTATGACCCGGACCTCATCTACCAAAGTCTAAATAAGATGAATCTATGGAGCTCATTAATGAAGCAGCTGCTATGGAAAGTCCTTTACATAGAAGCAGAGTGGATATCAGTCTCTGATCTGAATGTCCCCAAATTTCTTAATAAAACTAAATGTATAAAAACAGAGGTGGTGATTTTGGTAGAAGACTCCCTGGCCCAGTATGTCAGGCATATTATTGTTAATTTATGGGTTCAAACAGATGCTGGTCTGATGTTTGAATCTTGAATCATAGCTGTTGTAGAATCCAGCTTCTTGTACTTGAGGCAGCTAGCAAAGGTTAAACCTTTCCTTTCACATCAGCATTTTAAAACTCTATGCTTTTGTTACCACTGGGCTGGATTACTGTAATAAACTTTATGAGGATGTCAGTGATTCTGCTTCAGAGGGTCCAGAATGCTGCTGCACATCTTTTAACAGGTTTAAGCAAATTTGATAATATTTCCCCTATTTCAGCCTCATTACATTGGCTGCCAGAACATTTTAGCTCTTAAAGAAAAGTCTCTCATATTCAGAATTCAAACTTCTGAAAGTTCTTTAAATATGAATTTATTCCATCCTGTTGAATAAATGTTTTTAATTCAGAGTAATTTTCATGTGAATGTGCTTTACTGGAGGCATCCATGTTTGTCAAAGAACACTACTGCCACCTACTGGTTAGTGACATTGTCACGGTGCGGTATCGGCTGTTGATCAAGTCCCAGTGCTGTATCTGGTGTTTGTCACAACGCGCTATTATCCAAGTCATCTTGAAAACATTCTTCTTCCAAATGTTGGCTACATATTACGGGTTTTTTCTCTGGCCAGAAGTTCGATGGCAAATCCTCCCTCTTCAAGTTGGCGATCCAACGACCAACCCGTCCGTGGAGGATCAGGAATCAGAAAGGTGGAATAACTCTTTTTTTTCCACTTTTACCCAATGTATTCCAGCATCCAGCTGCCATGCACGTGGGCATTGTCAGTTTCACTATAGCTCTGGTGAATTTCAATGGTGAAGTCCTCTGGAAATCTTCAATAATTGTTGTTGATTGCAGATGTGTCTAGTAGTTCCCATTGACTTAGCTTGGAAAGCGGGGAGAATGGGGCTAGGCTTACCGCACCGTGACGTCACTGCTGGAAGATGGCAGGAGGGAGGGGCTACTGTATTTGGGCAAAAATGGCCGCTCCCAGACTCAGTGAGCATGACAAAAAATATTGCTTTTTATTTTTTCTGTTTGTTTTTTTTTTATTAACACCAAATTCATAAAATAACTATGAACATATTAGTTTCAGGTATAAATAAGGATCCATTGATTATTCCTTGCTGACCGGACTTTTCCTTTAATGGTCTTGCCCTGCCCCTTCCTGTTTGATCTGCTTCGTCCCTATACACCATGGCTGTGTTCAAATCCATGGGCTGCTTTCTCCAAGGACGCGGTCTACATAGATTGGATCCTTCGAAGTCTGTGAAAATAAGGAGACCGGAAGTGTTTTGGCTGTGAATTCGAAAATGTCCATAGCTGCATATTGGTTATTTATTCCCCAGTTTTATATTGTTAAAACACTTTACAGTATTTTATTGTTTATATTTTAACTCTTCCCTATCATGTTATTCTTAGACATTTTTCTAAGTTTCACATTTGTGTGACCATTTTCAATAATCTTTCTGCTGCTGTAAATTTGCCCATTGTGGGACAATAAAGGGATTTTCTATACTATTCTATAAAAGGGGTAGAAATATATAAGTAAATCTAAACAATGTATGTATAAAAATATATCTGCAAAATCTCTTATATTCAACAACAAAAATTCTGAGGTAAGCAAATTGTGCAAAACAGCAATAAAAAAATTTAAATCCTATCAGATTTATAGTCTCCACCCATAGATCTATTAGAATCTGTCCTTAAATTCCAGCCAAACCCATTTACACAGTAACAGATTAAAACCTTTAGATAAACCAAACATTACCGCCACATATCTGACTCAATAACCATTAAAACAACTATTTTCATTCATTTCAGACGGAACTATTCACAGAGTGGATTATATTAAACTGAACTTCCAATTTTCACCACTGTTCGTCACCAAGTAACCTTTCCTCTGATCACGGAGCAGCCGAGTTGTTTGGTCTCCCAATGAATCCTGGGATATCCAGGGCTATGGAGGATACATCGGACCTGTTCTCAAATCGGGCTAAAAGAAGGACGAAATTTAAGGCTGCATAACCAGGAGTCTTGGAATCAGACCAGACCTGAGCGCCGCGCTATGACGTAATCATCCTTCAAATCTGGCCTTATAAGGACGCAGCCCATATATTGGAACAGGGCCCATCTCGTCCCTTAGATCAGCTGACCAGTTGTTACTAATGGTGCTAAAGACAAAAAGCAAGCTCAGTGGAAACTGTTTCTTCTATTGCAGACTCAAAGCTGTGGAACGACCTTCCCTTGGCCTTTAGACAGAAACTTCCAAACTTTCTGATTTTAAAACTTTTCTAAAGACCCATTTCTTTTGGTTGGCTTTTACCACAATCTAGTATGTAGACTTTTGTCTTACTGTTTTTTTTTTATTTCATGATTCCTTTTTGTTTTATTACTACTTTTATCCACCACTTTATTTATTTTTTAATAATTGATTATTTGTATTTTATGATTGTGTATAGCACTTGCTTTATTCCTAATAAGGAGAAAAAAATAATGTTTGAGACATCATACTTTATGTATTGATAAACAGATTCAGTGGGACAACATGTAGGAAGGATTTTTAACAAGAGAAAATAATTCTCGTCCTTCCTGACTGATTGAGGAGCCTGATTGCTAATTGGCATCATCTGAGAGAGCTCCAGGTGGCGGAGGTACATAACAGTAGCTGGCTGTTCTTTCTGCTCACAGGCAGACAAGTTGGAAACAGCTCTACAATGGGTAAGGCCCTCAGCTTGAATATTCGTGTTCAATCTGTTTAACTTAAAGGAATAGCATCACTGCTGTTTTTGGACTAAGTTTTTTTGTTTCCATCTTTATTGTAGCAGCAAACAAGGTGCTGATTGTTTATGCTCACCAGAGTTCTGGATCATTCAACGCTGCTGTCAAAGACGCTGCTGTGGAGGTTCTGTCTGCTCATGGCTGCACAGTGGAAGTCTCTGACCTGTATGCCATGAGCTTCAAAGCCACTGCTACAGCGCAGGACATCAAGGGTATGAAACGTCCAGATTTAAATGTGGGTGGCCTGGAGGTGGCTTTATCGGCTCTACAATCTCCTCCTTTCACAGGAGAAGTAAAGAATGCTGAGAACTTCAGTTACTTGGAGGAGGCTAAACTTGCATGGGAGCAGGGCAAACTGTCAGATGACATCACCAGGGAGCAGTCTAAAGTCACAGAGGCAGACCTCATCATTTTTCAGGTGTAAGATGGTGGTTTTCCTACTGGTGGCTGGTTGTCTGCTGTGCTAATGCTAACCCATCCTTCAGTTCCCCATGTACTGGTTCAGTGTTCCTGCCATCCTGAAGGGCTGGATCGATCGGGTTCTCACCAATGGCTTTGCCTTTTCACAACAGAAGCGGTACAGCCAGGGAGTCTTTAAGGTGAGCCCTTAAATAAGCTGGTACAGATTTTCAGTCATCCAGGTCATAGTTATTCCAAAAAAGTTAAGCAATCCACTGGACTTTGTTTCCAAGTCTGAAGACGTTTCTCTTCCATCCAGGAAGCTTTTTCAATTCAAAATGTCAGAAATGGCGTTTAGTTCCAGGTTTTATCCAGCAGCCCAACAAAGCCTGGTTTTAGTTTAGAAAACATGCAAATAGAAACGGATGAATGGGTCCCCCCCTTTGGAATGGGGGTCGTTTGGCTTCTTTGTTAGCCTGCAATGCCCCATACCTGTCCATGTCTCTGAAAGGGGGGTCGTTAGAGGGGATTGTTGGCCTGGCCAAACAGGCGAGTTATTTTGTTGCCCTATATGGGATGGGCCATGCATGGTCTGTGGAGATGTTTGCCTCCAATATAAAGATCAGAGCATTCCTCTGAACTGCAGACACCACTCCACTCATATTGGGTCTAGAGGTTTTGTCATTAGGATGCACTAGTCTCTGTTTAAGGCTTTGCCTGCTTTGAAATGTTCTGAGATTTTGTTTGGAGAAACTCCTCTGGAGTTTTTCAGAGACTCCAACAACAAATGGGATGGAGATGTTTTTGCATCTAAACTCAGTTATGTTCTGCTGCATGTCTTTTGGATTTCCTTCCTGAGTTGAACAACACCCAGTTTGGGTATCAATAGCATACCCAGTTTCCCTTCTGTTTTAGTAGGGACACTCAGCCTTCTGTTTCTGACATGTTGAATGGAAAAAGCTTCCTGGATGGGAAGCAAAACATCATCAAACTTGGGGGAGGGGGGGGAAAGGGAGCCAATTGGGTTGTAACATTACAACCCACTGGTAACCAGACTGTATATTTAACGTGTTCTTCAGGACAAGAAGGCCATGTTGTCCTTCACCACTGGGTCTCTGGAGTCCATGTTCAGCCCAACTGGTATTAATGGCGACATGAATGTTACACTGTGGCCTCTGCAGGTATTATTCCTCACATTAACTCAACAGATCCCAGGAATTGAGGGGAAAACTCTTAACTCTGCGGTTCTCTGCAGAATGGCATCCTGCACTACTGTGGCTTCCAGGTTCTGGCACCTCAGATCTTCTGGGCTCCCTCCTCTGCTGAAGTTGAAGCACGTAAAGCCATGCTGGAGGGCTGGCGCACTCGACTGAAAGGTCTGCTAGAGGAAAAGCCTCTGTCCTTCATCCCATTGGACTGCTTTGAGGAGACTGGTTTCCAGTTGAAGCCTGCCATCCATAAGGAACATGCCAGCAAAGAGTTTGGGTTGACGGTTGGGATCCATCTAAACAAGCCACTGCCCCCTCATAGCCAGATGAAGGCTGGGTGCTGAAATGTCTCTTATGATCAATAAAGGCTGCTTTGTTCTGAAGTAATGAGCATTTTTCATGGTTTTTGATTCTACATTCCCTGTGAGACAAACGCCATCTAAGTGGCAGTTCAACTTTTAGTTGAATCTTTATGGTTCAGTGACTGACTTTGCAAACGTTGTGACTGAGGGTCATTTGACTTGGCTGACATTCTTTAAAACCAAGGTCTCCAACCATGGGCCTCAAAATCTACTCTAGTTCAGCTGAACAGGATTCCCTGCCAAAAGGTTTGACAGACTTTATAATGAACTATTCAGTTGATCCAGCTTTGGAGCGGGGATGGAGATCCTGCTTTAATGATCCAACCTTAGATGTGTAAAATTTCACACTTGAAAGTCAACAGTCAGGAAGGTTGAACTCTACCTCACAGCATGAATAGGGTAGATTTGCCAGGAACACTAGGAACCTAAGCTTTCACTGGCTCTATAAATCCTAAAACTCTGGACCATGTTGAATGTCCAACTTTAAAGTCTGATTTGAACTGTTCATCTAGACCACAGTTGCTCAATTCCAGTCAAGAGCTACCATCTGAAAACGCCTGAATCGAAAGACTCGATCCCCTCATTTAGCCCAGCAGAGGTGTGGAAACGCGCCACTTGTTTGATTCAGCTGTTAAAAATGCAGTGCATCATAGTTGCTCTTGAGGAGCCCTGATCGAGACGGTAAAGCTTCTGATCCAAGTAAGTTTGCAACTGGATGGATTCAAAATTTGCTAATGGGAAGCTTTCAAACTTAAAGCAGTGTCATTTCAGCACTGTAAACGGTTTCTCCCTTTCAGCAATATGGAGGTTGCCATGGTACGAAATGGCATCCGCATCACCTGCCTTGGCTAGCGATGAAGTTGATTTACATAGTTGTTGGATATAGATTTAAAATGGGTAGAACTTGCTGCCGAAACGAATGCACTTCCATTCAAAGTCTATGGTTGTAACTTAACTTAAAATGCTCGATGCGCCACATCAACCAGATCAGCTGATCTGAGAGCTGGCAGGGAAACGGACAGAGCACTGCTGATGCAGAGCGCTATGATCACTCCTGAAATGGTTTAACGCCTAAATTTACTTAAAATGTAAAAACCTGCCGGCAGAATATGTTGCAATTTGGAACACCTGAAAAACGCTAACATCTACTTCCAGCTGCCACCAACAGTAGGGGAAAACCCCCAAGAGGCTCCCGGGCCTGAGGCAGCTGCTGCTGGGGATTCCCAGTGACAGCGCAGCACCGGTATGTGGGGGTCTGAGCGGCTCCCACAGAGAAATAATCTTTGAAGGCAGGATGGTAATCTGGATGAACTGACTGCACAGACCATGTTTTCAGGAGGACTTTCTCACTTCAACATAGATTCTAACTACTTTTTACCCGCTGATCACAGCTAATATAGCAAAGCTGCTCTCTGGCATCAAACACAGGAGCAGCAGAAGCATCTGGGCACACTTTACTGAATGTCTCACCTTAAATTTTTTGATCCTGAAATTGCTTTGTGTGTGAAAGTAGCATAATGGTGACCACAGTGACATGAGCTGCCGTCGTGAAAAGATGCCTGCCTCGGTAAATGTGCGACCCACTCCTAAGTAATTATAAATGGCAACACAAAGATTGAGACTTTGTAGACGTTAAATAACTTAGAGGTGCTTCTCAAAATATTAGCATATTGCGATAAAGTTCATTGTTTTCCATAACGTAATAAAACGAACATTCATATACACTCACTGGCCACTTTATTAGGTACCCCATGCTAGTAACGGGTTGGACCCCCTTTTGCCTTCAGAACTGCCTCAATTCTTGGTGGCATAGATTCAACAAGGTGCTGGAAGCATTCCTCAGGGCGTTTGGTCCATATTGACATGATGGCATCACACAGTTGCCGCAGATTTGTCGGCTGCACATCCATGATGCGAATCTCCCGTTCCACCACATCCCAAAGATGCTCTATTGGATTGAGATCTGGTGACTGTGGAGGCCATTTGAGTACAGTGAACACATTGTCATGTTCAAGAAACCGGTCTGAGATGATTCCAGCTTTATGACATGGCGCATTATCCTGCTGAAAGTAGCCATCAGAAGTTGGGTACATTGTGGTCATAAAGGGATGGACATGGTCAGCAACAATACTCAGGTAGGCTGTGGCGTTGCAACGATGCTCAATTGGTACCAAGGGGCCCAAAGAGTGCCAAGAAAATATTCCCCACACCATGACAACACCACCACCAGCCTGAACCGTTTATACAAGGCAGGATGGATCCATGCTTTCATGTTGTAGACGCCAAATTCTGACCCTACCATCCGAATGTCGCAGCAGAAATCGAGACTAATCAGACCAGGCGACGTTTTTCCAATCTTCTATTGTCGAATTTCTATGAGCTTGTGCAAATTGTAGCCTCAGTTTCCTGTTCTTAGCTGAAAGGAGTGGCACCCGGTGTGGTCTTCTGCTGCTGTAGCCCATCTGCCTCAAAGTTCCACGTACTGTGCGTTCAGAGATGCTCTTCTGCCCACCTTGGTTGTAACGGGTGGTTATTTGAGTCACTGTTGCCCTTCTATGAGCTCCAACCAGTCTGGCCATTCTCCTCTGACCTCTGGCATCAACAAGGCATTTCCGCCCACAGAACTGCCGCTCACTGGATGTTTTTTCTTTTTCGGACCATTCTCTGTAAACCCTAGAGATGGTTGTGCGTGAAAATCCCAGTAGATCAGCAGTTTCTGAAATACTCAGACCAGCCCTTCTGGCACCAACAATCATGCCACGTTCAAAGTCACTCAAATCAACTTTCTTCCCCATACTGATGCTCAGTTTGAACTGCAGTTGGACAGGTGTACCTAATAAAGTGGCCGGTGAGTGTATTTTAGATTCATTGCACACTAACTGAAATATTTCAGGTCTTTTATTGTTTTAATACGGATGATTTTGGCAAACAGCTCATGAAAACCCCAAATTTCTATCTTATAAAATTAGCGTATTTCATCCGACCAATAAAGTGTTCTTAATACAAAAGTCGACCTTCAAATAATTCTGTACAGTTCTGCACTCAATACTTGGTGGGAATCCTTTAGCAGAAATGGCTGCTTCAACGAGGCGTGGCATGGAGGCTATCAGCCTGCTGAGGTGTCATGGAGGCCCAGGTTGCTTCCATAGCGTTTAGCCTTTAGCTCATCCACAGTGTTGGGTCTTGGATCTCTCAACTTTCTCTTCACAATATCCACAGATTCTCTATGGGGTTCAGGTCAGGAGAGTTGGCAGGCCAATTGAGCGCAGTGATACCATGGTCAGTGATCCATTTACCAGTGGTTTTGGCTCTGTGAGCAGCTGCCAGGTGGTGCTGAAAAATGAAATCTTCATCTCCATAAAGCTTTTCAGCAGATGGAAGCATGAAGTGCTCCAAAATCTCCTGATAGCTGCATTGACCCTGGCCTTGATAAACCCAGTGGACCAACACCAGCAGCTGACATGCCGCCCCAGACCAACTATGACTGTGGCTACTTGACTCTGGACTTCTGGCATTTTGGCATTTCCTTCTCCCCAGTCTCCCTCCAGACTCCGGCACCTTGATTTCCAGATGACGTGTAAAACTGAGCACCAGTCCAGAGCTGCTTCTCTGTAGCCCAGGTCAGGCGCCTCTGCTGCTGTTTCTGGTTCTAAAGTGGCTGACCTGGGGAATGCGGCACCTGTAGCCCATTTACTGCACACGCCTGTGCACAGTGGCTCTGGATGTTTCCACTCCAGACTCAGTCCACTGCTTCCGCAGGTCCCCCAAGGTCTGGAATCTAACCTTCTCCACAATCTTCCTCAGGGTCCGGTCACCTCTTCTGGTTGTGCAGCGTTTTCTGCCACTTTTTCCTTCCCACTGAGGTGTCTTGATGCAGCAGCACTCTGGGAACAGCCCATTGGTTCAGATTTATCTTTCTGTGTCATAGCCTCTGGCTGAGGGGGTCAATGATGGCCTTATGGACAGAAGGCAGGTCGGCAGTCTGACCCATGATTGGGGTTCTGACTGATGAACCAGGCTGGGAGTTTTAAAGGCCTCAGGAATCTTTTGCAGGTGTTTAGAGTTAATCTGTTTCAGTGGATTAGGTGCATGGCTCGTTTAGAGACCTTCATCATGATAGGCTAATTATGTGAGATAGGAATTCTGGGTTTTCATGAGCTGTTTGCCAAAATCATCCGTATGAAGAAAATAAAAGACCTGAAATATTTCAGTTAGCGTGCAATGAATCTAAAATATATGAATGTTCATAATGAACTTTATCACAATATGCTATTGTTTTGAGAAGGACCAGTATATAATGTTTCTGTTAGTAAATCCCTATAATGATTCCACACTATGGCTTTAAAATGTTGGCTGACACTTGTTAAAAGGCTCTGTTTCTACACCTTGAAGTTTTCTCTCTCTGGTTCGTTTTCCTGAAAAGAGAGCATTCACAGGGTTCAGACGGGAATGAGTGACTCTAATTTAATGCATTGTAATGCTCTTTTAATGCCGTTAGACATATTTTAATGCTATCAACAAGTACCATGTACACAAGTTATTAGTGTACATGAAATATGAAGGAGCTGACATTGCATTCTATCATATCACGCAGCTACTTCGCAAAAGTCAGCCGCCCACATTCTGAACACCACGAGATAGAATAGGCTACCAGTTATTATTGGTGGAATTTGGAAATGGAGGCAAGATGAAGAAATCTACGCTGGAAAGAACTAAACTCAGCTTTGGAAAGCCAACAGGTCAGGAGAAAAGAAAGAGAGAAGGAGGCGAGTTCATTTCGCCAGTAAATATATCATTCAAAGCACGGCTAGGAATAGGATGCATTATGAAGAATACAGATTTCAGCTTTGGCCATTTCAAAATGGACCAAAATAATATAACCAAACAGACCGTGTACAACATTGCGTCTGAGGTTAGTAGTGTGTTGCTCATGGTGCATTATGAAGAATAAGGATTTCTGGTTTGGCTGTTTCAAAGTTTTTTTTTTTTTGTCAAGTAAGATTTAGTGCAATATTTGACCT